GATCGAGTTTTCTTAATTAATCGCTCACAATTCGTTGTTGATAACAACTACAGCTCACCCTCTTCTCCCATTACTTCTGGTGTGCCCCAGGGTTCTGTGTTGGGCCCTTTACTATTCTTATTTATATTAACGATTTACCCGATGTTGCAATTTCTTCGATTCACCTTTTCATTGACGACTGCGCTGTTTACCGAGAAATTTCATCTAACTCTGACGCTAGTTCTTTGCAAAGTGACATTGATAATATTGCCAGCTGGTGCAGAACTTGGCACATGGACCTCAACACTAACAAATGTAAAGTTTTACGTATCTCACGAACTACCGGACCCCCTGCTAACTACATCTTAAATGCCGTTGATCTAGAGTCTGTAACTTCGTATAAATACTTGGGGATTCATATAACATCTGACTTGAACTGGAAACATCATATTAATTATGTTATTTACAATAGCAACCCTATGCTAGGGTACCTACGACGCAACCTTAGCCGTGCCCCTCAAGCCGTAAAACTAACAATGTTTAAAACACTAGTTCATCCGAAACTCGAATATGCATGCTTCATTTGGGACCCTTTTCAACTGAACTTAACTCACTCGCTTGAAATAGTACAGAATAACGCAGCACGCTTCACTCTATCTAACTACCATCGCACTAGCAGTGTTATGTCAATGAAACACAGCCTTTCACTACAGTCACTTGAATCACACCGCAAAGCATCTCGTCTCATACTTTTTCACAAGATATGCAATCATACACTTTTAAAAGCTCAGTTCATTACCCCTCCATCCCATTACTCAGCCCATTTAGATCATCAGCATAAGGTACATGTCATTAGCTGCTGCACTAACACTTTCCATCATTCCTTCGTCCCACGCACATCCGACGACTGGAAGCACCTTCCCTCGCACATGATTCCCATTTCAAATCATGACTTGTTTTCTTCTACAATACAGAAGTACTTACGTGATGACACGTGAAGTGTATGTTGTACATATATATCATTCTACTCTGTTTCCCTCATGTTTCTGATAATACTTACGCATATATTTAGTGTATTGCCCAACATCGAATTTTTATGTCTTGTAATCTTTATTATTTTGATGTTACTATGTTTGCTCTTGTTTATAGTTTACTATTTTTGTACCCCACTCCCCTCTGTAAAGCTATGTGCGATTGAGGGTAAAATAAATGAAAAATGAAATGAATGAAGCACGAATGAGGAAGGTTGATATGTCACTTTCAAATCGGCACATTACGAGACGGACGTGAATTAAGTCGTGCATGACTTCTATGTCATGACTATCATTTTGGACATGTCATTTACCTTCGTCGTCTATTCACGCCACGTGATACGAAATTTGGTATATGTGGAGCTAGCGAAACTGCCGCGAGCGCTATGACCGTTGCATGTAGTCACAATTTACGTGACACGCATATCATGATTATCATGCTTGGGCGTGTCATTTACTTTCGTCGTTCATTCATGTAAAGTGATACAAAATTTGGTATATGTGTAACTAACGAAACGGCCGTGAGTGTGCTATGGGCATAGCATGTCATGTCATGCCATATCATCATGGATATTATGATTATCATGTTTGGACGTGTCATTTGCCTTCTTCATCTATTCACGTCATGCAATACCAAACTTGGTAAATGTGAAACTAGCGAAAGCAGCCGCGAGCACATCATGAGCGTGGCATGTAATGATGCTGTTACATGACACACATCTCATGATTATCATGTTTGCACCAGTCACACACCTCCGGCATCGATTTACGTCCCGTAATACCGAATTTGGTATATGTGAAGCTAGCGATACGACTGTGAGCACTTCATTAGTGTACTAGTATGTATTCATGTTGTTGCATCACATGCATGTCATTATAATCCTATCTGAGTGTGTCATTTGCCTACGTCATCTGTTTGCATCATGTAATACCGAATTCGCTATGTGTGAAGCTAGTAAAACTGCCGCGAGCGCATTGTGAGTGTGGTATGTAGCCCCGCCACAGTGGTCTAATGGCTAAGGTACTCGGCTGCCTACTCGCAGGTCGCGGGATTGAATTCCGGCTGTGGTGGATGGAGGCAAAAATGTTGTAGGCCCGTGTGCTCAGATTTGGGTGCGCGTTAAAAGAACCCAAAGTGGTCAAAATTTCCTGAGCCCTCCACTACGGCGTCTCTCACTATCATATTGTGGTTTTGGAGCATCAAAGCCCACATATCAGTCACTCATGAATCAGTGTGGCATGTAGTCATGTTTTTACATGACATGCATCTTATGATTATCATGTTTGCAACAATCATATACCTTCATCATCCATTATGTCCCGTAATACCGAATTTGGTTTATGGGAAGCTAGCGAAACTACCACGAGCGCACCATGAGCGTGGTGTTCAGTCATGACTGACATGACATGCATGTCATGATTTCCAGGTTAGGGGCTGTCACTTCGATTCGCCAAGCAGTCATGTCATACAATACCAGTTTTGCGAAATCTCAATCATCAAAGGTAAATCATGACATTGATGGCATACATGTCTTGATTTTCATGGTATGACTGGTTAATTATGTTTGTCATACAGTAATGTTATGCCCTATCAATGTTGGTATCGATAACATTATTGAAACGAGCAGGAGAGCTAAATGTCGAAGGCAGGCAGTTATTACACTGCAGTATTATAACTGTGGTATCACAGTGGAAAGCTTTCTAGAGCTGCTCAGTTTTTACTTGAAACACACCTTCTTTGAATTCAAGGATAAGGTGTATGTTCAAAAGTCTGGAGTTTGTATCAGATCAAAAGTTTCACCCATACTGAGTGACATTTCTTTGAGCAAAACGGACCATGATTTACTGCTAGATCTGCAGGGGGTTACCAATACGGTATTTCGCTTCCTAGATGATTAACTGGTACTGGGCAGCAATGTGCCATTAGAGACGATTATCCAGGATGTTCTGGTAGCCTTTGAGGCAAAAAAAGGAGGGCTGAAATTCGCTTACGAGGTACCAGTTCAAAACACCTTGCAGTTTTTAGACCTTAGGCTATATTTTTCAGCCGACCATAGATGCTTTAAGTACGCTTCCCGATCGCAAAAACCCCTTCTGAACTACTCCTTCCATTCCAAGGTAATAAAAAACTGAGTGGCCTAATGTTGTCTAAAATTCGCTATTACCAAGTCATGTCATCATTTGCCACAGGAAAGCTTCAGGGAGCAGGTTATTAGGCTAAAATACACCGGCTTTCCCGAGTCTGTTTTGCAGTAAATTTGCAGGCGCCTTATTAAGCATATAAAAGGCAGCCAAGACCGACGGCAGGAACATGAACGAGGCACAGTAGCGGTGATACCGTACGTGCATGCGCTGTCACACCGAACTAAAAATACCGCCCATAGGTGTGGGCTAAATGTTGTTTTCACGGCCAAGAATAAACTAGCGAAGCGGTGCCCCATGGTTAGGAAGAAGCTGGACGCTGTCGGACGAGGAGGCGCACAAACTTGCAAGATTTAGCACAATGTCTGTTTTATTCTTGTGTGTTTAACCTTGTTTACAGCATTCTTCTCACATGCGGACGAGTGTATGTGTGGCACACTGGTCGCTGCATAAATATTCACTTAAGGGTCACCATTCATCTTTAAAGGGCAGGTCGCTAACATATTTGGCCTTACACTGTGCAAAGTGTGGATGCGAGGCACGCTTTTCAAGTACAATCATTTTGTTTAGGTGCCATGATCACACTGCATGAGAGATCGTGGAGGCATTTGACGTCAACATTAGGCAATCATACTGTATCAGGCACCTGTCAGTGACAATTTTCAGAAAAAAAGTGTCACTGCTAAAGCAGATAATGAACACATGATGTATGGTACGATAGACTAGGATCTGAAATTACGTCGGTGCACATGGGCCGGGGGTGACTACATTGATATATAAATGTTCCTTTTCTAAATAAAACCTTCATTTGATAGTAGCGCTGGTGTTGTACCCTTCTTTTCTTTGTCCGTGTGTCAGTGTGTGCTAAAAATAAGTAATGATGCACTCATACCAACTAGCTCGTCTTTCAATATTACTTCAGGCAGGCAGGCCAAGCAGGCAGGCAAGCAGGCCAGGCAGCAAGTCTAGTTTTCATAAAAAATACAATTTGGAATGCGTGGCATTTCTGCTGGTTATTCTGGGGGGATTTCAAAAATAGCACTTTTCCCTTTATTTGTATGTTTAAATGTTGAAATTAAAAATATTAGAGTTCCCAGAGTACAATTTATCAATCAATACCAGCTTCCTTTTATTGGTTCTCTGATAGCCGTTGCTTTCGGGATTGAACTAAGGGGGAACACATACGTGTTAGTGAACTGTGCATAACCCTAAGCAAAGAAGAGGTGAACTATCCTTCATGTGCCTAAGTGAGCTCTTAAAATTGTCCTTGTCAACTAACAGGTTCCACACATTATATCGTGATGAATGGATTGAAAGTTACTTTGACTTGTTACCCCGCACCTTTTTTCTTTATATTGCATTGAAGCAATAAAACAGTCAGTTGTTAGTCGGTGCTCATCCTGTCTGTTATTACTTTATTCGTCTCTTGTAGTTTGTGCTGTTTTATCTTTTATCATGTTTGACCCGCAACGAAACGCACTTCCGCGTGCTGTCTCATTTGGCTATAGTACCATTTAAACACTATTCAGTATGAGGTGTACAATCTGTCTGGACAACGGTGGGATGAAAATTTGTTACCCAGCAGCAACTAACTCGCTTCAGCTGCAGTGCCTGCTGACCGACCTGGGTGCTCGACTGCCGACTCGCCTGTTGTGGGATCAAATCTGGTTTGTGGCGGCCACATTTTCAATTAAGGCAGAAGTGATTGAGGCTTGTGTTCTTAGGTTTAAATGCATCTTAATTAAATAACCTTGCGTGGTCGAAATTTCCCGAGCCTTCCACTATGGCGTCTCCCATAATCATATCATTGTTTCGGGACGCTAAACGTCCACAAATATTATATTGCAGCGCCTGCTGACGTCAGTGGAGCACCTGGAGCTGGTGGGTAACAATCTGTTGCAGCTGGAGAACCTAGAGTGCTTGTCACGCCTGTCGACGCTCAACATGGCTGACAACAGACTGCGCCAGTTGCCCCCGCTGCACACTCGCCTCGGGAACGTGCGACAATTGAGCCTGGCGGGAAACCAAATCGACTCTCTGGCTGGTCAGTGCCCCTTTTTTTGCCTCATTGATGCCACACCGACTGCATCACGGCAGGTTTGACCCCAGCAGAAATGTCGTGCGCTGTCGCGCGAGTCTCGACGTTGCCCAAGAGGAAACATTAATTAGGCTGAACCCCTGGTCGGGAGACGAAAAGTCCAACTGCAGCAATACACATTGCAAAATGATAGAGGTGAATGGAGCATTGGCCATTGAAAAACTGATCTGCAGTAACCTGCATCGGCATTTTTACACGCGGCACTGAAGGTTATAGTTTTATCGCTGGTGCTTGCAAGAGCTTTAAAATAGCATGCACTCTAAATAAAAGTATTTCGAACAGTCGCGAAGCACGCCAAACGTTGCCATGATATCCAAGATAACAGCTTTCGTGGGTGAAGAACAAAAGCTAGAAACGGGTTGGAAGTACTATGCCATAGGCAGAGCAGCACGTCACTGTCAGCGATGGCTGGGGTGTTATTGATTCAGAAAAAAACCGTGAAGCTGTGCAGGATAGGCTATACGGAGGTGGAACTAGAGATTAGACTTTTGGACTACTTTATTTACTCGCGTATTGAACGCATCTTTTTGCTCGAAACATCAAAGGAAAGTTGGGGGTGCGTTCATTATGCAAGGTAAATATTATGAAGACTTTTTCAGGATGAGCGAAAAATGGGGTAATGCAAAAAAAAAAAAAAAAGAGAGAGAGATAGGTTGCTTCGCTTTTTGCAATCGACATACGTGTACACTGTTTGGAAACAGCTTCTTTGTTACACTTTACTTATCTTCGGTGGTTGATAGCGCTATCTTTAAGCTGTTCCCGCGTCGCCCGCGCACGCCAAAAAAGTGTTTTGCGCTTATTTTTTCTCCCAATCGTTTAACCGAAACAGTGGTAACTGCTGTGACCTCGAAAGGCGCCCAGAGGCATGCGCTACGACGCACTTTGCGCTAACTTCGTGGCAACCTCGCATGACGACCGTGACCACGCCATTCATATTGTAGCAAGTAACTAACATTGCAACAAGCGACCCCCACCCCGCAGGGGCGCCTGCGCAAGTAGGCGTTTGGTGTGTAGCGACACCACGGACCCGAGCTAACGGGGGGGTTTCGGCTCCCTCCCACGCCTAGCCGTGCGTGGCTTTGCCGTGTCCGGGGAAAAGGGGATCCTGGGGGTTGAGCCGACGCTGGGTGATTGGACCTTTAAGGCCCCCCCGGCAGAGGCAACACACCCCTTTGGCCCCGGCTACGTAGACGGCACCCCTGGGCTGACCCACCCAGGGGAAATCGGCAGTCGCCTTTTCCTATCTCTCTCTTCCTACATCTTAGTCTTTTCTCATCTTTAAATTGGTCCTGTCTTCTTCTCTCTTCCATTTACTTCCGATTTTTCCTGGCGGCAAGGGTTAACCTTGTGTAATTACTCAACCTTGAGTAGTTATATTTGGTTATAGTGGCAATGTACGGCTGGCGTCTGCAGCCTTATGCTATTAAGTGCTTCAGCGTCCCCTGGTTGGACTCCATGGTGGGTGGTCGCCATTGCTGCCGAAAAAAAAAGTACACTACTATGGGAACACCTGCATTTCCCCATCTCTTAGATCGTCTTCCGCTTAAGAGGGGACGCACCGATGAAATATTAATTTTCAACCAACCCAGACATTGTTTTTCGAAATTTCGTGTAGTGCACAGCGAAAAGCCAACAAAACAAGCCAGAGCCATATCTCCATTTCTCGTTGCTAAATCTCTGACTGAGCTCTTTGGCCCAGGATACAAGGTTACAAAGATGGCTAGCGGAGACCTTCTCCTTGAGCTGCCAGAAAAACACCACTATGAAAAACTTGGCAGTCTCAAAGCTTTTGGTAATATCCCAGTATCTGTTTCACCTCATAGATCAATGAACACCTCACGCGGAGTTGTTTCAGAAGCAGACCTTCTTGAAATGTCTGAACAGGAACTGCTTGAAGGGTGGAAAGAGCAAAATGTCACGGATGTGAAACGAATCGTCATCAGACGCGACAACAAAGAAATACCTACCAAACATATAATACTCACTTTTGCATCTAGCACACTGCCCTCATCTATAGACACAGGCTACATCAAACTCCCTGTCCGTCCCTACATTCCCAATCCAAGACGATGTTATAAATGTCAACGATTTGGTCATGGCTCGCAGAACTGCCGGGGTCAGGAAACTTCTGCAAGATGTGGTAGCCACGGCCACCCATCTGATAACTGTGTTACTACGCCTCACTGCGTGAATTGTGATGGGGAACACGCCGCGTATTCGCGTTCGTGTCCTAACTGGAAGAAAGAAAAAGAAATAATCACTCTTAAAGTCAAAGAAAACATCACATTCAAAGAAGCAAGACGAAGAGTGTCGCCATTTTACGGCGCAACATATGCTGATGCGGCGCATCAGGGGGCAACGCCGCACCAGCCCTCGCCACCCCTTCGGCCCGCGCAGAGCGAGCCGTCGGCTGTGGCACCTGCCCCCAAGGCGGCTGTAGCCCAGGCTACACCGCTAACTCCCAAACAGAGACCGGAGACTCCAGAGTCTTCGGGTCTCAAGGCCTCCCCTCACCAGGTGAGGCCCAAAATCCAAACTAACAGCCCGCACGTGCGGGCATTCAGTGCCTCCGAGGAGGCAATGGATACGTCGGCACCCTTGGTACCGAAACAGCGGCGTGGCTCCTTGGAGCGCGCCAAGAAAACAAAAAAGCAAATAACAGGGCCTGGTGACGGCCCTGTTAAGTGAACTCAAACTCCCGTCTAAACAGCCACTTGCTTTTTGTACACACAGCATTATTTTACATTCACCATGAACACTCAAATTATACAATGGAACGTCAGGGGCCTCCTCAGAAACCTTGACGACATCCAAGAACTCCTACACGAACACTCACCAAAAGTGCTGTGTGTACAAGAAACACACCTTAATTCAAAACACACAAATTTTCTTCGCAAATACGTTATTTTTCGAAAGGACCGTGATGATGCCATGACATCATCCGGAGGTGTTGCCATCGTAGTGAATCAAGGAATTGCATGCACAGACTTACAACTCCAAACATCCCTTGAGGCAGTGGCTGTTCGAGCGGTTCTTTTTGATAAACTGATCACAATCTGCACTATTTACATTCCTCCTAGCTATCAGCTGCAAAAACGTGATTTACACTCTCTAATTGATGAACTTCCGGAACCTTATGTTCTCCTTGGAGACTTTAATGCGCATAGCAGGCTATGGGGTGACTCTCGGTATAACGCGCGAGGTCGACTGATCGAACAGCTCCTTCTCTCGTCGAGCGCGTGTCTCCTAAACCGAAAAGAACCAACCTATTATAATCTCGCCAATAACACCTACTCCTCCATAGACCTAAGCATAGTATCTCCATCCCTTGTGTCTCTACTCCAGTGGAAAGTCGTCAGTAATCTTTACGGAAGCGACCACTTCCCCGTAGTTTTGAGCACAAATGCAGTAACTGAGTGTCCACCACGTGTTCCCAAGTGGCTCATAAACAGAGCCGACTGGGAACAGTTTTATACCATTGCTCGTCTAGGTTGGAATGACATTAGTACTTTGAACATTGATGTTGCTGTCAACTTCTTCACAGCGTTTTTGATTGATGCTGCAACAAAATGCATCCCACAAACAAATGGACACCCTGGAAAACGGCGTGTGCCATGGTGGAACTCTGAATGCCGAAACGCGCGGAAGCAGCAAAACAGAGCTTGGAGGCTGCTTCGGAACTCACCGACAGCCGAAAATCTTGAAACCTTCAAAAAAATAAAGTCTCAAGCTAGGAGAACGCGTCGGCAGGCCAGAAGAGAAAGCTGGCAGAAGTTTTTGTCAGGGATCAATTCATACACACAAGAGGCCAAAGTCTGGAACATGGTCGGTAGGATAGCAGGGAAACAAGCACACACACTTCCACTCGTAAACACTCAAGGTGATACCTTGGAAGATCAGGCAAACTTCCTCGGGGCACATTTTGAACGGGTATCCAGCTCGTCCCACTATACTGACACTTTCCAAAAATACAGAACAAGAATAGAAAAGCAGAAACTTGAACACAAATGCACTAGATACGAGGCATATAATCAAGCTTTCAGTCTAGCTGAGCTGCGAATGTCTCTAAACTCCTGCAGTACTTCTGCCCCAGGTTCTGACCATGTCGTTTATGAAATGTTAAAAAACCTACCGATCGAAACACGAAAAACCTTACTTTGTTTGTACAATGCTATCTGGTTTTCTAGCACTATCCCTAACTCCTGGAAAGAGGCTATTATAATTCCCATTTTGAAAGAGGGCAAGGACCCTTCTTTACCTTCGAGTTATAGGCCTATTGCACTTACAAGCTGCTTGTGCAAAATCTTCGAAAAAATGATAAACTGCAGACTTGTACATTTCCTTGAAACAAACAATTTGCTCGACCCATTTCAGTGCGGGTTTCGAGAAAGTAGATCCACCACAGACCACCTTGTTCGTATCGAGGCACAGATCAGGGACGCTTTCGTCCATAAACAATATTTTCTCTCTGTATTCCTCGATATCGAAAAAGCTTATGATACAACATGGCGTTTCGGAATTCTAAGAGACCTCTCCCACCTTGGCGTGCGCGGAAGAATGTTTCACATAATCGAAAGTTACCTGTCAAACCGGACATTCCGTGTCCGAGTGGGCACGGTTCTTTCCCAAACATTTGTCCAGGAAACAGGCGTGCCACAAGGTGGTGTACTTAGCTGCACACTTTTTCTCATCAAGATGAATTCCTTGCACTTGTCCATCCCTCGCAATATGTTTTATTGTACATATGTCGACGACGTCCAGCTTGGCTTTAGATCTTGCAATCTGGTAATGTGTGAGCGACAGGTCCAGTTAGGGTTAAACAAGGTCTCCAAATGGGCAGAGGAAAACGGATTCCGACTGAACTCACAAAAGAGCACATGTGTCTTGTTCTCCCGAAAGAGAGGCATGCACTCAGAACCCGATATTGAATTGAACGGTCAACGTCT